AATTGACTCCTTTACATATACAATGACCTTATTTGTCTCTTGTTACCATTTTTGGTTTAAAATCAATTTTGTCTCTTACAAGTATAGCTATTCCTACTCTTGGTTTCCACTTGCATGCAGTACCTTTGTTATCTCTTCACCTGGAGCCTATCAGAGTCAGCCTTAAAGCTGAAGTGAGTCTCTTTCGGTAGCTTATAGTAGGGTCTATTTTGTTTTTAATCTCTCCAGCCACTCCATGTATTTTGATTGAAGAATTCAATCCCTTTACATTTAGAATAATTATTGGTAGGTAAGCCCTTACAAATGTCACCTTATTAACTGTTTCAGGCTATAGGTAGATGCCTTGCTGCTGCTTCTTGCTGCGTTTCTTCGTGATTGGTGATTTTCTATTGTGGTATGCTTCAACTGCCTTCTGTGTCTCTTTTATGAATCTACTGTAGGGTTTGTTTTATGGTTTCCATGAGCCTTACAAACAGTGTTTTATAACAACAGTCTGTTTTATCCTGATAACAATTTAAGTTCAGTTGCAATCAAAACTTGACTTTTTAACACCCCCTTTTATGTTTCTGATGTCACAATTTACATCTTTTTATACTGCATATCCATTAACAAATTGTAACTATAATTATTTTTATTGAATATATTTGACACATAACGTTGTGTACATTTAAGGTGTAAAATATATACTAATTTGATATATTTATATACTGTGATATCATGGCCATTCTTGGCAATTTAGCACCTTTATCACGTTACATAATTATGCCTTTTTTAGTAGTCATGATAATTAAGTTCGAGTCTCTTTGCAGGTTTGATAAATACATATGATATCGTTGTCTATATTTATTATACTGTGCATTAGATCTCTACAGCGTAGCTGTTACTCATTGCAAATTTGTACCCTGAAACATCATCTGTCTTACCCACCCCCAGCAGTAATCGCTATTTTACTCTGCTTTTACAGGTTTGACTTTTTTAGATTACATATATTATTGATATCTTACAGTACTTGTCTTTTCTCTCTCGGACTTATCTCACTTAGCATAATGTGCTCAAGGCCCATCCAAATGGACCAAAAGGTGTATACCTGTAGCAAATGGCAGGTATACACACACACGCCACATAACGTCTTCTTCATCCTTTATCTGGCAGTGGGCATTTAGGTCGATTTCATATCTTGGCTGTTGAGACTAATGATGCAGTAAACATGAGAGTGCATGTATCTGTATCTCTTGGAAATCCTGTTTTCATTTCCTTTGCATATACCCAGAAGTGGTACTGCTGTGTCATATGGTAGATCTATTTTTAATTTTTGAGGAAACTTTATATTGTTTTCCATAGTTGTTGGATCAATGTATATTCTCACCAAAGTGAACAAAAGATCCCTTTTTACCAATTGTTTTCCAGCACCTGTTGTGTCTCTTCTTCTTGACGGTAGCCACTGTAACAGGTGTGAGGTGATATCTCATTGTAAGTTGGATTCGCATCTCCCCGATGATCAGTGATGTTCCGCCCGTTTTCACGTGCCTGTTGTCCATTTGGATATCCTCTTTGGGAAAGTGTTTACTTAGTTATTCTGCCCATTTTTAATCAGGTTGTATATTGTTTTTTGGTTGTTGTTACTGAGTACAGTTGACCCTTCAACAATGTGGGGGATAAGGGCACTGCCCCTCTGCATAGTGGAAAGTCTGTGCTCTGCATAGTGGAAAGTCTGTGTATAACTTAGAGTCGGCCCTCCATATATGTGAGTCCGCCATATCCACAGTTCCTATGCATTAATGGGTTCAGCTAATCATGGATCGTGTAGTACTGTAGTAGTTACTAGTGAAAAAAAATCCATGAATAAGTTGACCTGCACGGTTCAAGTTTCAACTGTATATGAGTTATTTATATATTTTAGAAATTAACCCCAGTATCCAATATATAGCTTGCAAAGCTTTTCTCTCATGCGGTACACTGCCATTTTATTTTTATTTTGGTAATTGTTTCTTTCTCTTGCTTTGCAGAAGCTCTTAAATGGGACGTAGTCCCGTTTGCTGATTTTTGCTGCTGTTATTTGCGCTTTTGGTCATCTCCAGAAAATCTTTGCCAAAAACAATGTCAAAGAGCTTCTTCCACACATTTCCTTCTAGGAGTTTTAGAGTACCAGGTCTTACGTTTAAGTCTTTGATCCATTTCAAGTTAGTTTTCATAAGTGGTGTGAGATAGTTATCAAATTTCATTGTTCATCATGTACTTATCCAGTTTTTCCGCACCGTTTGTCAAAGAGATTCTTCTTTCCCCGGTGGGTGTTCTTAACTCCCTTGTCAAAATTAGTTGACTCTGGGGACTCTATTTTATTGCATTGGTCTATGTGACTATTTCTGTGCCACTACCGTACTGTTTTTAGTACGTACTAGAGCTTAGTAGTGTACTTTGAAACAGGAGGAGTGATATCTCCCGCTTTGGTTTTATTCTCCAGATTGCTTTGGCTATCTGAGGTCTTTTGTGGTTGCATAGAAATTTTAGAATTGTTTTTTCTATTTCTCTGAAGCATTCCTTCGGTATTTTGATGGAGCTTACATTGATGTATAGATATTATGGATAATTTCACAATATTAATTCTTCTGAGCCATGAAGATGGGCTGTCTTCTTTCCATTTGTTTGTGTCTTCTTCAGTTTCTCTCATCAATGTCTTCCAGTTTTCAGTGCACAGGTCTTTAACCTTTTTGGATAAATTTATATCTAGGTATATTTTTCATGCTATTGTGAATAGGGTAGTGTTTTTCAAAAGGTTTTTCAATGTATAGAAATGCACCTGATTTCTGTATGTTCATTTTGTACCCTGCAACTTTACTACAGTCACTGCTTAGTTCCCACAGTCTTCTGGTTGAGTCTTTGGGGGTTCTATATATAAAATCATGTCATCTGCAAAGAGTGACACTTTCACTTCTTTTTCTATTGGATGTCTTCTATTTCTTTGTCTTGCCTAATTGTTCTAGCTCTAGAATTGTTCTAGCCCTAGCTAGGACTTCCAGTAGTACATTGAACTGGAGTGGTGGGAGTAGACAGCTTTGTCTTGTTCCTGATCTCGAGAAAATGTTTTCGGTTTTTTCTCCATTGAGTTATAATGTTAGCTGTGGTTTTCTGATATATGGCCTTTATTACGTTGAGGGATTTTCCTTCGTATACCTAGTCTATCAAGTGTTTCTATAATGAAAGCATGTTGTATTTTGTCAAATGGTTTTTCTACAGTTATTGATCATGTGATTACCTTTCATTGTACTGGTGTGATTTACTTGTGTATTTTGCACCATTCTTATATCTGAGTGCACCATTCTTATATCTGAGGGATAAATCCCACTTCTTCATTGTTTATGATCCTTTTAATGTGTTCATGAATCGGTCTGCTAATATTTGTTGGGAATTCTCACACCTCTGTTCGCTAGGGATATCGGTCTCTAGTTTTCCTTTGTTGTGATGTCCTTATCTGGCTTTGGGATTAGGGGAATACTGGCCTTATAGAATGAATTTGGATTTTGGGGATGAGTTTCAGAATGGGTGGTGTTAAGTCTTCTTTAAATGTTTCATAGAATTCGACAGTGAAGCCAAGCTGGTCCTGGTTTTTTCTCTGTCGTCTTCCTGATTCAGTTTTTATAGGTTGTGTGTGTGAAGCCCATCGCGTCTAAACTATGGTTTGGTTCAGATGTTTTCTTGATTTTCTGTCTTGGTGATCTCTCCTTGCTGACAGTGGGGTATCGGAGTCCCCTGATAGTACCGTATTGTTTATGTCCCCTTTCAGACCTGTTAGTATTTGGGTGCTGGGAGCTTATATATTTATAATGATTGTATCTTGTGTTGTATTGGCTCCTTCCTCATTATATAATGACCTCCTTTGTCTCTTGTTACCATTTTCGGCTTGGAGTCTATTTTGCTTGATACAGATATCACTATGCCCCCTTTCTTTTGGTTTCCGTTTGCTTGGAATATTATCATCATCTTCTCTTTGGGCCTTTGTGTGTCTTTAGCGTTTAAATTGGTCTCCTATATCCAGCACATAGTTGCATCTTACTTTTTTTTGAAAATCCACCCAGGCACTCTATGCCTTTTGATTGGTGAGTTTGATCCATTTACAACGTCAAGGTTGATTATGGATGCGTAAGGACTTACTACTGCCACCTTATCTTTTGCCTTCTTCTCATTTTGTGTCTTTATCCTTCTGTTTCAAACTACCTACCTTTGTAAAGTTTTGGTCTTCCATGGTGATTTGCTCAGTCACCCCTATTTTTATGTCTTAGGTCTCTAGATTTTCGCTTTGTGGTTACCAGGAGGCTTACGTAAAACATCTCACATCTCATAGGTAAAACAGTCCTTTATTCTGCTGATAGCATCTTATCTTCATTTGCCTGCAAAGGTTCCACTGTTTTTTTTACTCCTCCCTTTTTCTCTATGTGATTTCACAAATTATGGCTTTTATGTTATGAATTCAGTTTTTTTTCCTTTAACCTGTTTGGTATAATTATTTAACCCACTGTTGTAAAACGGTCATGGTTTTCTAATTCCGACTGTCTATTACCCTTTTCAGTGTTTTATGTTCTTTCATTTTGTGTGTGTCTCTAATTAGTGCCTTTTTGTTTCTGTTTGAAGAACTCCCTTCAGCGTTTCTCTCAATGCAGGGCTTGTGGTGTGTGTCTCTAATTAGTGCCTTTTTGTTTCTGTTTGAAGAACTCCCTTCAGCGTTTCTCTCAATGCAGGGCTTGTGGTGGTGAACTCCCTCAGTTTGTCTGGGAAAGCCGTCGTTCCTCCTTCACATCTGAAGGGTAATTTTGCCAGATAAGGGACGAGTATACCTGGCTGGCAATTTTTCATCTTTTGATATTTTGGATATGTCATTACACTCTCTCCTAGCCTGTTGCTGAGAAATCTGCTGGTAGTCTAAATGGGGGATCATTTTGTAAGTTACTTTTTTCCCCTTTGGCCACTTTTAAAATTCTTTAGCATTGATTTTTTTTTTTTTACAGTTTCCTTATGATGTATCTTGAAGAAGGTCTTTTTTATCCACAAGGCCAACAGAATGCCTTAGCAGCATGTCCAGTTCCTTCTTTGGTAAGTACTTAGCTATTATTATTTCTTTAAATACACCCTCTGCCCCGCCCCCTTCTCTCTTTTTACCTCTGATATACCCATTATCATCATTATCTTGGTTTTCCTAATTGAGTCTAATAGCTCTCATAGCATTTCTTCACTTTATTCAAATCTTAGTTCTCACTCCTCTTCCGTCTAAATCATTTCTAAATTCCTGTCAGTCATCTACTTCACTTTCTCTTTCTTCCATCTGATCTCCTCTAGCACCGACGCATTCTTTCTTATAATTTCAATTACTGTGGTACAGTATTCCTTCCTTCTAGTCATTAATTATGTTCGAGTTTTCTTGTAGCTTGTTGAGGAGTTTCTTCAAAACAGCTATGTTGAGGTATTTAGCTGTTGGACTGTAGTAGTCCATATCTTTGAGTTCAGGTGCTGGAGAATAGTCATTTTCTTTCGGTGGTACCATGATTCTTCATAGTGTATCATTAACTAACTGTGCCTTTGCTGTAACGTGTAAAGTAGCAGGCACCTTTCTTACTTTCTTAGTTAGTTAGTTACAAAAAATCTTCGTTTCCTTAACATTTTAACGTGCTGACAAAACAAAACTTCCTTTTATTTACCAGAAGGTGGTGATATAGCCCAAGTTTTTGACTTCTCACTGGCCCGGCCTGTCCCTGCTACTACACTTGGGAGAGTACATATAAAAACGAAAGGTATTGCAGAGTTGCGGGACGTGTGGGCTTAGCGCCTGGGGCTTTGAGGGTCCCCAACACACCTGTCAGGGGAGTCTGATTGATTGCAAGACTCTCAGAGGTCTCTTGCTGGATCTCCTGCTGAAATCCTGAGCAGGTAGCAGGTAACACTTTCCACAGAGGCCCCTGCTCAGAAATCTGCATTCTGCCTGAGAGAAACCTCAGGGTACCTCCAGCTATAACGTTTGCAGGTGCTTGCACTTTTCACTTCCTCTGCCAGAGAAGTCGCTGCTGCCACCATTGTACTCACCAAGTGAGCTCTGGGGAGAGGGGTCCACTCCGGCCGTTCCTCCCTTTGCCTGCCTCCAGACTTGTTTCTATCCTGCTCAGCTGGTTTGCCAAGTTCTTCTGTCAGACTGGCGAGAGCACCACGAATTCCCTCTCTCCCATGAGTGTCTTCCCACTTTTGTACTCTCCAGATTAGGTGGTACTTGAGGGTGAGGCAGGCTCAGGACTTGGAGCTGCAGCATCTTTAGATGTCCACTGGGTGATCTCTCAGGTGTCCTGTGCAGAGGCCCTTTGGTTGGGTTATGGTTGTTAGAGACGTAGAGGTCCAGTTAGTTGTAAATCGAAAGGAAGAGAAAAAAAGAAAACCATTTCATGCCATGACGGTGACATCCAACTACAGCTATTTTGATACGTTTGCTCTTTAACCTTTATATTAAAGCAGTTAATGATATTAGAGTAGTTAACGTGTCCCTAAATTGAAATATCAGAGTAGTGTGAATATGACTATATGCTTACCAGTGTATTGTATCTTTTCATGGTACCTTCAGCTTGATGAACTCCTGGCGGCATTTTTTGTAAGGTAGGTTTAGCGTTCAGCTTTTTGTTTCTTAGGCAGGCTTTATCTCACCTTCATTTATGAAGGATATGTTTGCTTGGTAAAATAGTCTTGGTTGGCTGTTTCTCTCATAGTAGTACTTGGAATGTATCATCCGTTTCTCTCTCTCCTGGCCTGCGAGGTCTCTACTGAGAGAGCTGCTTGATCATAGCCTGAAAGAAGTACTCTTGAATACCTTAAAAAACTATCTTACCTTTAAATCCTTTCTTTGACTTTTGACTGGTGTTTTAGCATACATAGTGTGTCTTGGAGAAGATCATTCTGGGGTAAAGGTTGGGGGTCACCTATTAGCTTAGATTAGCTTAGCTTCACCTACTTGGATGTCCAAATCCCTTCCCAGCCAGGTTTGTGAATTTCTCAGCCCTTATTTCCTTAAAGAAGTAAGTAAGTTTCTAGCCCTTTGCTCTTTTCCTTCTGGGGCTCTGCTGTTATCTTGATGTTGTCCTGTAAGTCCCACAGACGTTCTTTTTTCTTCTCTGATTGGACAATTGATCTCTCTGCTGAGTCTTTGTCAAGTCTGCTGTTGAAAACTCTGTTGCATTCTTTCATCCACTCGTTGTGTTCTACAGCTCCAAAGTTTCTGTTCAGGTCTTTTTCACGTTTTCTTTTGGTGGAACTTTTCATTTTGTTCATGTACATTTTTTCTGTTTTTATTAAATTGCTTACCTGTGTTTTCTAATAGCTCTCTGACCATCTTCATAACAGTTACTTGACTTCTTTATGTCCCTTGTAGCCCTGCATAGGCATCAGCACATTTGAAGCAGCAGTTACCTCTTCCAGACTTCATGGACTGGCTGTGGTAAGAGAAGACTTCTACCTGTGCACAGAAGTGTGCTTACGCATAGGATGAGCCTGACTCAAGTGGTGCAGGGCTGCAAGCGTGGGGGGTGTGCTTTGGCATTAGAGCCGGTGGTTTGCGAGATCTCGGGCCTCTGCTCTGTGGTGCACAGAATCAACAACTTCAACAACTGTGGTAAGCACTGCAACGCAGTGGGGGTGTGTCCTCAGTGGCACCTCTTAGTTCAGCAGCTAAGAACTGGGGCAGGCAAATGTGGTGGTGTCCAGAGCCAGTGTGCGCACACACTCGGCTATGCTATGGGGGACAGCTTAAGGGGCCCACATCATTGGTGGGGCCAACTACAGGCTCACTGGCAGCTGCAGGGGCCCTGGCTATAGGCATGCTCTCCTGGGGGTGGGTGGGTGGATACTTTCCACTCCGGGACTTGCACAGTGGTGGGTGCAGAGGCTTGTCCAGAGTGCACGCCAGGTGGTCTGCGGTAGGGGTTCTAGACTGGTGTCTTACACAGAGCCCTGGGCTGACGTCAGCAAATGCAAATATCTGTGGGGTAAAAGCAGGTAAAATAAGAGAGCTCTCTTTGGGGTGACCTTGCTGGCCCCTTTAGTATCGTCATCCTATAGAGCAGGTCACTGTGATCCACCATCACTCCTGCTGCATGGCTGCTATCGGTAGCCACCGTTTTCTTTCTTGTTGCTAGTCATCTCTATAATAAGATCTCCTCGGCTTTGCTGGCTTGCCTGGGGTGAAACCATAGAAAGCCCTTCACTGGGTGTCCCAAAAGCCTGGGGAAGCTAATTACTACTCACCATGCTCTTCCTTTTGCAGCAAACTCTTTCTAGATGGGAAGTTCCCTCTTGGGGCTAAGCAGTACCAGCTTGGTGGACGGATGATACAGGCAAGATGAAGCTGTCTCCCTTCTCTGTTTGTTTAGTCATGCCCTTCTTCTGGTTTTCTGTCCTGCTGTGTTGCTTTTCTACACGGACTCCGGAGCTCTGCCAGTCTTTGTGGACAGCTGTTTCTTTGTTGATCTTTGTCAGGGAGGGGATAGAGGCCTGGTTCTTCTGCCTCTCCATTTTGGTCTTGATTCTTGAAGACGATGAAAAGAAAAAGTGTTTACCAATCAAAAGGAGTCACCTGAGAATAGGATACAAAGTATGAAACTGTCTGACATGTTTGGAAGGAATTATATATCCTGGTGCTCAACATTCCATTCTATCCAGAGAGCTTTGTATATTTACTGATAAGATAACCAAATTTGCAGTCTGTATCTCTCTATTTTACTAAAGAAAGACAACCTTTTTGCAGAGTTACACACTACTATTTTCTTCAGAAATCGTTTGTATTGTATTGTATTGTATTTAATGCTGACACCTGCAACTGGCTTTATATTAAGGCCACAGAAGACATTTTCATCCCTTTTTCAGATATCATTGCGTTTATCTGTACCAACCACTATGCTCAGGGCACTCTCTTTCAACTCCATTGGCCTTCCTTCTTTGAATTCTAACACAAAACCTATTGGGGGGCTATTGCCTATGCTGTTTCTATGCCTTGAATGTTTGTTTCTCTCCAGAACTTTTGTACGTCTAGCTCTTTCGCATTCAGTTCTTCCCACCTTATATTATTATTACCTATCTATCTCAGATCACTTCCCTCATGATCCTGATCCAAGTATATGCAACTCTGACATCTCCCAGACATCTTATATCATTTATTTATTCTTAGTTGATAATCTTCATAGCACATCACTAGCTGAGATTAACGTTTTCACACATGAGTTACATTTTCCTTCCCCCTCGTAAGCACACAGGAGTCGTACGAGTAGGAACGATGGCTTTCCCACTTGCTATTGTGACTGCAGCAACCAAAATAGGACCTACGATGCACCTCTCTTCCCAAACCCTCACAACTCCAATTTAACCTTCTACTTGGGCTCACTGCCAGCTTGTTGGTACCAGTGCAACCTCAGCTCCTCTACAAGACAAACAGATCTACAAGACAAACAGAAGATCTTTTGGAGTCAGCACCACAACATTGAGAGACAGCCTCAAGGCATAAGAAATGGAGTAAGTAAGTAAGTTTCTACATGCATTCTGATGGCCCCGGACCACTATAAAGGAACTGGCATTATGGCCTGAGGCCTACTGTCCGCAGGCTGAGAGACTATTAGGAGACTCGACTCAAGTGTCAGGCAGCCTCTTCAGCAAGGGTTCCTGTTTCTACCCAACACAGTGTCCTTCAATAACTAGCTCAGACTTTAAGCTGGCTTTGTAGGCTAACAAAAGCATAGTAGAGTCATTAAAAAGTTTCTTCATCAACCAGACAGAGAAAACTCAATCCAAAAAAAGTGTGCACAGTACTAAAGAAAGAAAGGACTGGCGCTGATTGATAGACAGATACAGAGGATAATAAAGAGGATAATAATTAGGAAATGTAAGTGGAAGGCCAACTGGCCCGAGGCAGGGGACCGGAATGCATCAGACCGAAACCCTCCGGACCACCCAGTTCCAGGGACTGACGGTCCCAAGACTGATGCAACCGGCACCGGATATTATTGCCACGATACCCGAAGAGACCACCGAATAAGGAATACCCTGTGCCCTCCCAGATTCATTCACCACACCCCTTTCCCTTCTTCCCCAACCCTCGCCCGGGTGTGCGACTTCTCTGGCCCCTTGCTCTCGGACCAGTGAACCTCGCCCGAGAGCGCTCCCTAAGAAAGCTCACTTGAAGCTTTCCTCTGTTTTGCAGTGCCGTTTGTTAAGATCCCACCTTACATTTGGTGCCGAAACCCGGGAGGGGTACCAAGCCCCGCGGGTTACCGCACAGGCCACTCCTCCCCCAGGAGACAACCAGGGAACCTCCACTCATCCACCCGATCTGGCAGAAAACAGGGTAAGTCCCGCTCCCTTGTTCTCTCCGGGCCTCGGGCAACTGTGGAGACGTCCCAATCGCCTGACCGCCCTCCGACCTGCCGTGAATTGGAGACTGAGACCAGGGACGCCTCTCTCCCTCTCCATTCACTCAGGGACAGACTGGGGGTCATGGGAACCTCACAATCGAAACCAGATCCTAAGACGCCCGTGGGGTGTCTCCTAGCCAATAATTTTACAGCCCTCGGTTTCTCCCAAGATCTCCGTCGCCGACAGCTTATTTTCTATCCCACTGTGGCCTGGCCACAATATCCCCTAGACAATCAATCTCAATCCAAAAATCCAAATGGCCTCCTGAAGGGACTTTCGATTTTAACATCCTCCGTGATCTGGATAATTACTGCCGCAGGACAGGCAAATGGTCCGAGGTCCCCTATGTTCAGGCCTTCTGGTATTTGCGCTCCCGCCCTTCCCTCTGCATCGATTGTTCCACTTCCCAGATCCTTCTTGCCAAACAGACATCTCCTACATTCAAGCCCCTAATTTCCTTTGACTATGACCCCTCTCCACTAGCCAACCCACCGGAATCTCCCACCTCTCCCCCTTCCAGAGCTCCTCTCCACCCTACCCTGAAGCAGTCCCTCCTCCTCCCGAACCCGCTCGGGCCCCTCCAACTGCTCCCCCACCTACCCTTAACGGTTTCTCCTCCCACGCCCTTTGCTTTGCCAGTGGTGCACATACGCGCTCTCACAACTCCCGAGATCCAAATGCCCTCTGAGGGAGGTAGCAGGAGCAGAAGGATTAGTTAGAGTTCATGTTCCCTCCAAGAGTGCTCTCAAATAGAAAAGCGATTGGGCTCCTTTTCTGCCGACTCTTCCCGCTACATCAGAGAACTTCGCTACCTCTCTCAAGTTTACGATCTAACCTGGCACGACATCTTTGTGATCCTATCTTCTACTCTGACCCCTGACGAGAGGGAAAGAATTCAAACTGCTGCCTGAAACCACGCAGATCAGGTTCACCTTACCGACAACTCCGTGCCTGTCAGAGCGACTGATGTACCTGGCACCGATCCAGGCTGGCCTTATCAGGATGGCCAAGGTGGCCGCCGTAAACGCGACCTCATAATCCAATGCCTCCTGGCTGGCTTGCAGGCTGCCACCCATAAGGAAGTGATAACCCAAGAACCTAACGAAAATCCAGCTATCTTTCTCAATCGCCTTACAGAGGCCTTAACTCTCTACACCCGGCTGGATCCCGACACCCTGGCAGGGACAGGGGTCTGCAAAAGGCACCCCCACCGGGGTCCTGCTTCAAGTGCAGAAAAGAAGGCCACTGGGCTTGCCCATGTCCCAGCTGCGGGCTAACGGGCCACTGGAAGAGTGACTGCCCTACGACTGGCCCTCCCTCAGTGTCTCCACGCGGGGGGCAGGCTGACCCAACGGCATTACCACTCAAACTGCTGGGATTGGCTGACAACTGACGGCGCCTGGACTCGAAGACCCCCCCATCACCCTCGCCGAGCCCAGTGTAACAACGCTACAGGTAGCGGGTAAGTCCGTCTCATTTCTGGTGGACACGGGGGCCACCTATTCGGTCCTCCGGGCCAGTTTCTCCTTCCCACTCCAGACCGGTCCACTCCCATGTCATATCGAAGGACTCCCTTTTACTCATTCCTTCATAGTCAGACCATCCTGCCCAGTTCCCTTGTTCCCTTGCTAGGCCGAGACGTCCTTTTCCACTTAGGGGCCTCCCTGCAGCTGGTTAGACCTGACCCTAAGGTCCCCTCCTCCCAACTCCTGCTTCCTCTTCTCGGCCTGTCTCTAGAACCCTCCCCCCCCATTCCCCCTCTTCCAATCACACCGAACCCAATCAATCCCCAAGTCTGGGATACTTCTAAGCCTGTAATAGCAACACACCATTCCCCCGTCCTCATCCACCTAAAGGCCGCCTCCAAATTTCCATCAAGGCCCCAATTTCCCATCTCTGAGACTCACCTTAGGGGCCTACAACCTATTATTATCACCAGACTCCTAAACCAGGGACTCCTTATCCCCACTGACTCTGACTCTCCCTGCAACACCCCCATCCTACCTGTCCACAAGGCCTCTGGGGATTATCGCCTGGTCCAGGACCTGCGACTAATCAGCGAGGACATAATTCCTCTCCCCCCAGTAGCACCAAACCCATACACCTTGCTCTCCCATACCCCCCATCCACAACCCACTTTACGGTTCTGGATCTCAAAGATGCCTTTTTCACTATCCCCCTACATCCCGACTCCTATTTCCTCTTCGCCTTTACCTGGACGGATCCAGATACTCATACTTCCTTCTTCCCCAGGGCTTCCGCGACAGTCCTCACCTCTTCAGTCAGGCGTTCGCACGGGACCTCACTTCCTGCTCCCTTGCCCCCAACACACTCCTTCAATATGTAGATGAATTCCTCCGTTGTAGCCCGTCTCTCAAGACAACACACTGCAGATCTCCTCAATTACCTTGGCTCTCACGGTTATCGGGTCTCCCCAGCCAAGGCTCAGTTTTCTGTGTCTTCCGTAACCTACCTGGGGCTCCACCTTACCCCTACCACACCCGGACTATCCGTGAACTCCAGCCTCCGGAAACAGCAGAACAAATTCTCTCCTTTTTGGGCCTTATAGGATTTTTCCGACACTGGATCCCTAACTTTGCTCTCCTCGCTAAACCCTTATATGTAGCCGCTAAAGAAACCCCTCAAGAACCCCTCACCTCTCCTTCCGCCGTTCGACAGGCCTTTCTCACCCTCCGTAACGCTCTGATATCTTCTCCTCCCCTTTCTCTGCCCAACCCAAACGGACCTTTTCACCTTTTTGTGGATGAACGGGCCAGAATAGCCACTGGACTCCTCCATTCGGGGATGGCAACCATGCCTTCGGGCCCTAGCAGCAGCCGAACTGACCAAACAAACATTCAAACTGACTCTGGCCCACCCACTAACCGTGTTTTCCTCCCACCCGCTGGTCGACCTCCTAGGCCACAAGTAGTCTCTCTCCCTCCTGGGTCCCTCCCACAGCCAGGAGTTCCACCTACTGTTCATTGAAAACCCAGCTATTTCTCTTGATCTCTCCCCTCACCTGAACCTGGCTTCTCTCCTGCCTATCTCTGGCACCAGGACCTCCTCTTCCCACTCCTGCCCCCAAGTCACCAAGTCATAGAGGCCCTCAGCCCGCCGAGAGAGGGACTCTTTGACACCCCTCTTTCAAACCTGGACCACACCCTCTTCATAGATGGCAGGTCGATACTCGGTCCTGATGGGTGCCGACAGGCAGCCTATGCGGTGGTAACTATCTCAACTATTATCAAGGCTAACAGCCTCCCAGAAGGGACAGCCTCTCAAAGAGCTGAACTGATAGCACTCACGCAGGCCCTCGACCTCTCTAAGGGCCAAAGGGCCATCTTTCTCCCTATGGTCGCAGGCATCAGGGGAGGAGCCCTAACTCACAGTGTCTCAACATCCCGGGACCTAGAACAAACTCCAGCTAGCCATCGAGGCTTCTGCCGCCTCCATCACCTCCCTCCAGCGCCAGATCACCTCCGTAGCCCAAGTTGCCCTCCAAAAGCAACAAGCCCTGGATCTCCTGACGGCCGACAAAGGAGGTACCTGCCTCTTCCTACAGGAGGAATGCTGCTATCACATCGGTGAAACAGGACTCGTTGAAGACAACGTAAACGCCCTCCATCGCTTAAGAACTCCAACGCAAACACCAACAGTCTGCCTCCCCAACTGGTGGCGATCCACCCTCTCTACCTGGCTAACAGCAATCTTAAGCTCCCTGTTTTCTTAGGTTCCTTTGCAGGCGCATGGAGGAAGTCTCTAGGGTGGCCACAAACCAAGTGCTCCTCGGTCCTTACACCTTGCTTCCTACAGAACCCCCCCACTGGTCTCCCCTAAGCCTCAGACCTCTGGTCGCCCCACTCCCCTTTCGACGCCCCCATTCAGCATGAAGTAGCCAGAGATCAGAACGCTGCCCCATTACACCAAAGATGTCGGGAGGTACGGCCAGCTGGCCCGAGGCAGGGGAACGCAATCAGATTCACAGGTTGCATCAGACCGAAACTCTCCGGACCACCCAGTTCCAGGAACTGACCTGGGGACTTTCCACCCAGCCTTCCCGCCTTTCGAGGGGCGGGACTAACGGTCCCAAGACTGATGCAACCGGCACCGGATATTGCCACCATACCCAAAGAGACCATCAAATAAGGAATACCCTGCGCCCTCTCAGATTCACCACACCCCTTTCCCTTCTTCCCCTATAAAATCTTGCCCAACCCTCGCCCGGCTGCGACTTCTCTGGCCCCTTGCTCTCGGACCACTGAACCTCGCCCGGGAGCGCTCCCTAATAATGCTCACTTGAAGCTTTCCTCTGTTTCGTGGTGCCGTTTGTTAAGATCCGACCTTACAGTAAGTAGCTCAAACAAAGCTTTCTAAGAATAAAAAATTTTGATACCACAGAAAATATCTTAAAGCAGTGGAGGAAAAATCTAAACAACATGGAGGTTGCAAGAAGTAGAAAATAACAAAATTGGAGGATAGCTCCAATACTCGGAAGTTAAAGAAGAAACTCAATAAATGAGAGAGATGCAAAGAGTACATAAGTAACAGAATTGTCTATTATTAAGACATAGAAAGTCCAAAATCTATACATTCAAAAGCCATTAAAGGGAAACTAGAAAGGAAGGGAGGAAGAATAGACTTAGCTTAATATATAATACTTCCAGTACTAATGTATTTTAGTCATTATCTCAAAGAAAGG